GCTGCCTATTGCCCATTCCACTTTTCATTATAGTTATTTTTCCTGTAAGTATATATTATATTTATTTATTGGTTTACTCTGTTTATTTATCTTTCCATTGGCATACCACTCCCATAAGGAAAGGAGTAATTTCTTTCTCCGTAACACTGTTGAAACTCCACTACCTAGCATAATTACTGATGCATGATAGAAGCTTACTAAACATCATATTTTGAATAAATGAATGAATTAATTTCCATATTGCAGATCTTGGCATCATGGTTTGCAAAGTGTAGACCCTCAGTAAATGATGGCTACCATAAATTTTTTTCATGCTAGTTCATCTTATTCATATTCTTAAAATGGGAAGAACTCATTTTTCCTGTATTTTTCCAAATATATATGATTCTTAATAATGTAAGTGATTAAAATGTAAAAAAAAGTAATTGTGTGAAATCTTAAATCTCAAAATGAAGATGTAGAAAACTTCCTAATTCACCTGTATCCTTTCTAGCTACTGGTTCATTTATTTATTTCCTTTCACAGCCAACCACTTTGGAAACTTTCTCTAGACATTACTTCTATTTCCTCACTTCCTATTTGTTCCCTATCACACTCTGCGTTGATTTTCATTTCAACTAGTCCACTAAAATCAAATTGCTGTCCAAGTTACCAGTGGTCTTTGTGTGGATAAATCCAGCCTTCATTTACCTGCCCCTATCTTTATTGACCTTCCAGCACTCATTGACAGAGGTGAATACTTCCTTCTTGTGGAAATAATTTCTTCTCTTGACTTGTCTCTTGTCACTGTGGATCTCCCATCTCCCATCTTTTCAACAGCAATATCTTAGTCTCATTTGTTATCTCCTTCTCTACTTGATCTATACATGTGGAAGCACTTCAATAATTGGGGGGGGGCGGTCGTGGGGGACAGTGCAGCATTATAGAACAGACTTTTCAGCAGCTGCTTGCAATGCAGGAACCCATATCAGTGAGCCAGTTCGGTTCACTTTTTTTTTTTTTATTAGACAGGCAGAGTTAGACAGTGAGAGAGAGAAAGAAAGAAAGGTCTTCCTTCCGTTGGTTCACTCCCCAAATGGCCCTTACTGCTGGCGTGTTGCGCCGATCCGAAGCCAGGAGCCAGGTGCTTCTTCTTGGTCTCCCATGTGGGTGCCTTCCTGGGCCACAGCAGAGAGCTGGACTGGAAGAGGAGCAACTGGGACTAGAACCCGGCGCCCATATGGGATGCCGGTGCTGCGGGCAGAGGATTAACCAAGTGAGCCACAGTGCTGGCCCCAGTTTGGTTCACTTTGAATCCAGCTTCCCACTGATATGCTTGAGAAGGAAATGGCACATGGTCCAAATATTTGGGCAATTGCAACCCATGTGGAGACCAGGATGGAGTTCTTGTTTCCTGACTTTGGCATGGCCCAGTCCCAGCTGTTGCTGCCATTTGGAGAGTGAACCAGCAGATTGAAAACTCTCTCTCACTCTCTTTGTCATTCTACTTTTCAAATAAAAAATAAATTTCTAAATAATTAATGACTCTGGTTCCTTATCAGTTCTGTATTTATACTTTTGTTCACGAATGCCTCATTTTGGCTTGTGGTTTAAAATATTATCTATGTGATAATGATCACAACTACCTATCTTCAGCTATGATCTCTTTCTCTTGAAGTTAGAGTCATTCATTTACTAATATTTTGCATTAGGTATCTAAGAAGCCTTTTAAATTGAACACAATGGTCCATTTGTGTCCCTTTGTTTTCTGTGATATTAGTTACTTGCAGTCAGCTACATCTGACACTAGTATTTATCTTGACTTTCTCAAAAGAAAGATATCACAATCACATTAACTTTTATCATATTACATCATTATTACTGTTCTGTTTGTTCATACTCTATTATTATTGTTGTATTTTACTGCCAATTATTCTTGTACTGGATCTAATTTATACATACTTCTTTATCATTGGTATGCATATATAGAAGAATCCATAATATAGAGAGAGTTTGACACTACCCATGACGTCAGACATCCACTATGCGTCTTCAGTGTGTCCTCCATATTAACAGAGATGATTGTATAACTTGAATGAAATTCTTGGGAACTCATCTACCATTTTTACAAACTTTAGATTCTCATGACTTTTTTTTTTCCAAAGAAATCTTTTATATAAGGAATACAAACTTCATGCATTTCATAAATACAATTTCAGGAACATAGTGATTATTCCCACTGTACCTGCCTTCCCATTCACGCTCCCACCCCTTTTCCTCTTCCCTCTCCTATTCCCAGCCTTATTTTTTACTAAGAACTATTTTTAATTAACTTTATACACAGAAGATTAACTCTATACTAAGTAAAGAGTTCAACAAATTGTATGAAAAAACAGATGTTCCTTAACAATCACATGACTTCTTCGTCTCAGGAAAAGGCACCAATTTCTCCCTAGGGCTTACACAAAACCCTTATAAGTAATTATTCACTCTTCCATTTCCCTCACCCTTACAACTAGTCACTAAGCACAATTTTTTTTGGTTCTTTCTCCAAAATATATCCATCAACTCTTTTCAATTCCATTGGAATCACCATAGCCCAAGCTACCATCTTGGTTGATTTGGGTTACTACCATGAACTCCTAAATGATATTCCTGTATCCACATTTACTGCTCAATTCTTCTGATGTAAAAAAAAAACAAAAGCAAAAATTTATAGAGGATAATAATATTTTCTTTCTTTAAATCTTCTAGTGTTTTCCTATTTCACTTAAAATATAAATTTTTCGGTCTGCAAAACCCTGCATAATCAGACCTTTGCCTCTCTAACTTTGTCGTGTGTTCTAGAAATCCTGGATTTTTTTTTGTTCCTTGCACATGACACTCTCTTTCCTCCAAGTATTTCGTCTTTGTCCTTCATCAGAAATGTTCTTATGAGTATTATTTCATGTCTCTGTTCTTCCCACAAATGTGCAAATGTGACCTTCTAAAAGAGCTCTTCTCCAACTCCACTCTCTGAATCACCCAGCCATCTTCACATCCCATGTTCCCCTCTCTATGCATTATTATAATTCCTTGCTTTATTTCCTTCATATCAGGAAAGATTACATGAACTAGTTATGTTGATCAGATCTCAATCTGATTACATTAAACCACTTAATTATAACTATGTTAATTTTATTAGTATATTAATATTACAAATTCAACAAAACTATTAATACATACATTTTTATTCAATACTTGAATAAATTCAATACTTCAATCTACTCTAGGCAGAATCCTTATCACTCTTGGGTTTCAATGTCCTTGTTTGTGAGGAGGGGAGGAAAATACCTAATTCACTGGAATTTTAAGAAGATCAGATACATAGAACTCATTGAAAATGTGATGGCCTTTTCAGAATACAGCAATCATTATTAGTGAAAATTACCTTAATCTTAATCTTCCTGTATCTTTCCTTTATTATTTCACTTATCATGCTTCCAACTGTTCTTGCATTATAAGTATTGCATTGTAGGTACTGCCTAGTTTAGTTTAACATGTTTGTAATTTTTGTTAGCTTATGCTACAACATCCCAAAGACTGTTATATTCAATAAATGTCAAATGTAGTGGAAAAGGCGATGCTGGGGCCAGCGCCTTGGTGTAGTAGGTTAAGCCTCCGCCTGCAGCGCCCGCATCCCATATGGGTGCCAGTTTGAGTCTTGGCTGCACCACTTGTGATTCAGCTCCCCACTAATGGCTTGGGAAAGCAGTAGAGGATGGCCCAAATGCTGGGTTCCTGCAGCCACATAGGAGACCTGGAGGAAGCTCCTGGCTCCTGGATTCAAATCGGCCCAGCTCTGGCCATTGCGACCATTTGGGGAGCGAACCAGCAGATGGAAGACCTCTCTCTGTCTCTCCCTCTTTCTCTCTCTCTGTAACTCCAACTCTCAAATAAATAAATAAATCTTTAAAAAAAAAGAGGAGATGCTTCCTTCTATTGTTAATCTTAATTTGTAACAGTAGATTATAGTGCAAAGTGCATGTGTTTTTAAATCAGGCTTTTATGACCAGGTTTTCATCCTATTCTAGTAACTTTTACTAACTATGTGACTTGGGCCTCTCATTAAACTCTGACTATTAGTCTTCTAATTCCCAGCATGGAGGTAGTTATATCATGTGAATACACCAGTAGATGGTATGTGCTCAGTAAATAATAGCAATGGAATTATTAATAATAATATCAATGAAATAGTGATGATGATATTTGATGAGTAATGCTTTAGCAAAGAACCTTAGCTTATAGTATAACCATTTATTTCAGTTCAGTCAAAGTGTAGCTTTGTTGGTACTTTTAGAAAGCTATACCCAGGGCAAAAGTTTGGCTTTACAGTATACATCCTGGTTAAGAGGCTATCATCCCAAATTGAAGTTCTGGGTTAAACCTGCCTCTAACTCCTGACTTCAGATTTTTGCTTATGCAGACTCTGTGATTCAGCTGTTATGCCTCCAAAACTTAGTCACTGCCACCCATATGGAATACATGGATTGAGTTCTCAGTCTATGGCTTCAGTTTTAGTCCAACCCTGGACTTCTTGAGCAATTAGGCAATAAATCAGAGAGTAGGAGTTTTTTCTCTCTCTCCCTCTCTGTCTCTCTGCCTGTCTCTTCCTCTCTTTCTCCTTATCTCTCTCAAGTAAATATATACATTTTTTTAAAAAAAACCACACAGATGATTCCAGAGCATTCAATTGGAAGCCTGTAATTGCTGATCTCAAATATAAAATTAGGGGGGAAATACTTAGCTCTATAATCTAAGCCACAAAGATATACAAGTGATACTATATAGAAAAAGACTCCAACTGCAAATATACTGAGACTTTACATGGAATAAGACTCCAGCGAAAAACATCCCAGCACACAATTTAATTTTCACTTTAATCATAAAAGCAGCTTCTGTGGATAATGGGAAAGTATAATTGCCTACATTAGAATAATCAAAAATTAAGAATCCAAAGGGAAAGAAAAGTTTTCCATTACCTATTTGTTTGCAACACAGATGTGAAGACTGTTCTCTGCAAATTGCTTGGGTTTATAGAGGAAACAAGTGAACAAATGAAGCTGGAAAAGAAACAGAAAATATAGAAGAAATTTATAGATCCTAGACACAAAAGAAGGAGTGAGAAAGTGAAAAAGAGAGACAGAGATAATGCTGCAAACCTTTTGAAATACAAGATATGAATTGAAACATTCATAAAACTTAAAAACTTGCTCAAATTCCCAGAGTCTATCATTTCATAGAGTTGAGATTGGCCAACTTGAATGGTCAGAAAAACATTCCAGGGTATGACTTAACTGTTCAGGTCACCTCCTAACAAAATTTAAAATCCTTAGTACAACTCCTTCCTTTCAGACCCTATTTATCAAACCACTTCTGAGAGATACTCAGTTCCGATTCTCTGTTGGGATGTTTCCTGTCCTTGCAGTTCTCAGATGCTTTTCTAGAAGAGCCTTGATTGCTCTCCATGGGAGACCACCTTCTTCTGTCATCCATACTTCTTTTATCTCCTTGTGATTTCCCTTTTGCCTCCTTTTCCAAGAGCTGATAATTTGTGGCCCATGTCCTTCCCAAGGAGTGTCTATCTCATTAAAACCGACTCCTGTTGATATCCTTATGTCAACTTCAGTGGGAATGCCATCAGCACAGTGTACTGGTTGACCTGGACCTTCCTCTTTAACTCTAGTCCAACTGGTTGTCAGATAAACATCAAGAAAAGGACCTTGTGATAAAAGCAACACTTTTATCAGTACTATTTGATTATTTGTGTTCTAATAGAGAAATGACCTACATTTTTTTTTCTTCCCAGCAGTGAACCTAATAATTATATACCTATCTTCCTTAATAGAACATATGCTGCTTTCTATAAAAACAGTAAAACTATTACACACTGAATAGCAGTGAAAATGAAAACCAAGATCTCCATTTTTTACCTCCTACTACAAAGAGAACAGGAGTCACCCACTTGGACTAGATGAGAAATTTGGGCCCATCTGGCAAAATACTAAGTAAAGCTCAAAGGAACCAAAGTTAAACTTGCTGTTCCTTTAAAAGCTTTACACTTACTGAATACCTTCTGCTCCTTTTGGAATGCAAATGGAAGGTCCTTAGTTCCAGACCAACCAAGGCTACAGGATGTAAAAGTAAGAGCAAGACAATCATTCTGCATTTGTATACCACCAGATTGTCTAGATGCTGCTCTCGGCTCTCCTCTGAGATCAGAGAGCAGAAATCACGGCAAATATTGTACATGGGCAAATGTGAAAACCAAAACCAGCTGATACCAGGTCACAGATTCACAACATATAGGCTCTTTAGCAACTAATCTATGAGAAATATTATTATTATTATTAATAATAATAATAATTAGAGAGGAATGTGTTAAGCTGCATTCAAGGCAAGTGCTCAGAATAGTAGCAGTTGACTTCAGACTCCAATTCATTTATAATACATGTATTAATGAAAAGGATACTACACAGGAGCTGGCAGCGGGTAAAAGCCCCAGCCTGCAGCACCAGCATCCCATCTGGGCACCGGTTCGAGTCCCAGCTGTTCCATTTCTGATCTAGCTCTCTGCTATGGCCTAAGAAAGCAGTAGAAGATGGCCCAAGTCGTTGGGCCCCTACACCCATATGGGAGACCCAGGAGAAGATTCTGGCACCTGTCTTCGGATCAGCTCTGCTCTGCCCATTGTAGTCATCTGGGGAGTGAACCAGTGGATGAAAGACCTCTTTCTCTGTCTCTACCTCTCTCTGTAACTCTGCCTTTCAAATAAATAAACTAAACCTTTAAAAAAAAAAGAAAAGATACTATATTATGCTCACCATAGTCATGGACAGGATAGGGTAATATGGATAATATCTGCTGATGGAGTGATCTGCCCACAAAGAGAACCAACAGGTTAGTCCACGGCAGTGGCTTTCAATGTGGAAAGCCAGGGCTTCAGCAGAGGTCAACTTATGAAGAGTCCTGGCAAATCTGCCTGTCAAGAGTTGGAATCACGAGAGATGGAACTGCCCTGGAATCGCAGGGCGCCCAGGTCAGAGCCACAGACCTTGCAGGCTCTAAGCTGAAAAGCTCTTCACTTGGCCCAGCTTCCAAAGTAACCACTGCTGCTGAGGGAGTGGCCAAGTAGGGTCAGTGGCATTGCAGGCAGAACTGTAAATTTCCTGTTAGAGATGCCACCTGCATTTACCTGGCCAGCTCTCCTCCCAGGCCAGCTAGGTAATGGAAGTCAACAGGGTGCCTTCCCCAAGGAGGTTCACACCTCCCTTATGATGTACCCCATGTGAAGAGGTAGACAAGTCTGGGCCTTATAACTGGCAAGGCCTTAAAGCCCACCAGATTATTATCAGGCCCCTTCTGTGGGTTTCTATTTGCCTCTCAATCAGAGAACTTATTCGTAACTTAGATAGCACCTTTCTTAGGTCCTATAATAATGACTCTGCCTTTTGTTCTAGACTCTGTCTAGACCACTTGAGGCCTCATTCCTTTGTAATCATAGCCTCTACTCATACATCAATGGCTCTACTCCAACCTGTGTGTGTATTGATGGTCTTCCCTCCCCCACCCACTTAATGTTGTATGATTGTTCAGATTTTCTTTACAGAAAAACCCCTCTACCTGCAAAAGATGAATGGCCTTTCTCTCAGTCTTTGTTGAGGTCAGCTTTAAACCACTTCCATCAAACAGTCTTCACAAGGGTCCAGAAACCCCCCTCATTTCCTCTCCTCTATGAAATCCTCTCATTACTTGGTTAATGCTATTACTAGGAACATTGGTTGCTATTCTCACCCTTTTATACTACTGTGTCTGTTTAAGTGTTTACAGGAGGTAATAATGGAATGAACCAAGGCCTTCACCAACCAGGCAATCAACTAAATGCTGCTACAGGGAGATACTTGGCTCCCCACCCAAGAGATAGTTGCTTGAGACATTGCCCCATGCTAACAGAGAGTACCTGGTTGCCCCATGTCAGCAAGAAGTAGCACTAAAGACAGATCATGTCCTCTACCCCTCCTAGACTTTTGGGGCTAATGTAATCCCATACAACTCCTGCTTTATAAAAAACAAAAGGGGGAGGGGAATGTTAGTAAAATGGTGCAGTCTTATCTATGGGGCGATCTATACCCCAGACATTATCCTAGGCTCTAGCCCCCACTGCCATGGCTGGAAGCCAGGTGACCCCATGGCCCAACCACCGATTTCAGCTCCACCCCCACTCTATTGGGATTCACTGCTGCTATTTCCCTACCCGCTCCTGCAAAGGTTTAAGAGGACCTGTTTCTGAACACATGGCTTTCTCTATCTCTCTCTCTGTGTCTCTTGATCTCTCTCTTATGCTCTCCTCCCTCTTTTCCTTCTTCATCCCTTCCCTCCTGTCTGTCGGGTTTCCCCCAATAAACCCTTTCCCTTAAAAAAAAAAAAAAGAAATCTACTGATGGAAAATTTCCAGGTAAGTAAGCTTTAGAGAGTTATTTAAATGCAAATACCTGAGAGATTTCAAGGCTTAGAAAACAACTTTCAAATGACTTTAAAGTTTAGAAGCATATTCAACCAGTCTAACATTTTTTGTTAAATTCATCACAAAATATATTACATCCAGGGTTGATTGTAAAGATCTTCAAATGGCTTTCCACATTGAGTAGAATACTTTTAGTCCCTTCATGATAGATATCTAAAAGGTAAAGGCAAGCAATTTTTGATGGACTACAATACATAAGCTTATAGAGTAGAATTTATTTTCCCCAAGTCTTGTCTGTAACAGCCTAATCTGAAACTAACATGACAGCCATCTCTGTTATAAGACAAATTGTTGAGTGTAATATATGAGGATCAAGAACTAGAACAGCCAATATGATCATGCCTTTACCACATTCAGAGAACTTCTGCCAATATGTCTCCATTAGGAAGAAAACTGACACAACATGTATCCAACTGAAAGGAAATCAAGGTGCCAGCTATCTGAAATATCCCTTTCCTCAATTCCCTTTGTTCATAGTAATGAAAGAAAAACAAAATTCTATATGTAAAGAAAACTGAGAGTAATTTTCTTTTGAATTCATGTATTCTTGGACTTCATTGACCCTGATAAATATAATATATCCAAACTACTCACCTTGTTAAATTTAATAGCTGATGAAAGGCTGCTTGATTTAATGAGATAATCTTTAGTATTTTACTGGGGAGCTCTAGATTCTGGTCCTGTATATTATCCTAGCCCCACCTAAATTCTACTCTTTCCTTGTACTCTTATCCTCAGTGAATAACACATAATTTGCATGTGTCAGAAGCTTGGGAATCTTTTATGACAGTTATCCCTCCTTTACATTGCATAGCTTACCTAACCAACTTTTCAGCCATGCTAAGAGTCTGATGACCATTTCCTTCTCTGTTTTTACTGCAAATATATTAGATCAGGCCTCCAAATGTCTTCACACTTATTATAGCAATTTTTAAAATATCCTCATAATTGCCTGTCAGTCTTCACTTCCATGCCTTTTTGAGAGCATGGTACACATTGCTGCCTGAAAATATTTGTACACACACGGATCATGTCAGGAACTCAGCCAATTTAATTATGCCACATGGGCCTCAGGATTTTTTTTTTTTTCTGAAGACTATGAAAACATTGATTTAATTGAATAATTATTTGGGTTAAAAAATGTTTCCCAAGTAAAGTGCCTTGATCAATGTCTAACTTTTAGGAAGTATGAAATGTGTTACTCCTCTCATTCTCTCACCTTTTTTACTCACCTTTACCTCTGTATATACTCTGCTACTTTCTTACTTGAGGATTCAGTGATAAGATGCTATTCCTTTGCTTCATCTATAACATCTGTGAAAATCCTTCTTATAGCACTCAACCAACTGAGCTATAGCTGTTTGTGTAATTCTCTGTTCTCCTCAAGAATTGCAAGTTCCTGAATGCTAAGGGCTTTCTATTCTAATTTGATATTCCCAATGCTTGGCTCACTGAATGTGTAAGTGATTAATATATCTTGGTTGATATTTAATAGCTTCTGACACTAAATTGTTGAATATATCAAATAAGCTCAAATGT